AAAAAAACGACTTTATTCAACAATTCGTCTCCTCCACATCACCCTGGTGCCATTTTGGAGAGTATCAGCTGGACGTAAACGGTTCAGATCAAATCACAACAACGTAGGAAACAGATCCGGCGTGGCGCAGCTGACACAGAACAGCATACACTGTTTACGTCCAGCGGATATTCTCCAAAATGGCACCAGGGTGATGCGGAGGAGACGACTTGTTGAAAACGTTTTTTTTTTCTTTTGTGCACAAAAAGTATTCTCGTAGCTTCGTATAATTGCGGATTGTCACTGATGTCACATGGATTATTTTACAGACCTCCTTGCTACGTTTCTGGACTTGGGAACATTTCAGTTGTATTGCTGTCTATGCAGGGTCAGACAGCTCTCAGATTCATGACAGAATTTTAATTTTTGGGTGAACTAAACCTTTAATATAAATGTTCTTCTGTTCCCTGGAGGTGGCTGGATTCATCTCGTTCACTAATGCAGCAGGGAATACAAGACAATGACAAACTATGGCTTCGTTTCAAATACTACACTTACCATGATATGGATTCCAAGGTAGCGGTGTTTGGTTAAGACGTGTGTATACATTTTTTCCAAGAGTCAAGAAATTAAAATCAATTCTCTCATTGTTGTAGTATGATGCAGTGCGTTTGACGCAGTTGTATGAACAAGCTCGCTGGGATATTCTCTTGGAGGACATAGACTGCACAGAAGAGGAAATGATGCTGTTTGGAGCCCTGCAGGTACAACAGAGAAAACCTAGCAAATAATACTGCCATCGCAACTATAAAACAGATTTGTTAAACTGATGTTAGCATAAAAGGAATAAACACAAAAAGCAGTAGCATTCTAAAATCTTCCTCTTTTTCTCACTCTCTTATTCAGTACCACATAGGAAAACAGTCCTTGTCTCAGGACATGGTCTCTTCCTGTCAAGGGATGGATGACTTGGAGTCTGCCCTGAAATCCCTGGAGGTCAAGATGGTGGGAGATGGCAACAGCACAGACATGCTAGTGAGAGACACTTACAATAAATCATCTGTCCTAATAGCATAGCAGAAAATGAGACATGGAGATTGAACTGCAGAGATGCAGAGACAAATTCAGAGGTACTAAATCTGCTATCAGAAGTACGATCAATAAAAATCGGATTTACTTTTACAGGATAACATGACTGCCCCAGAGCTCAATGACCATTTGAAAATATTTCGGTAAGGTCCTTTTCTTTGGCCAAATCCTACTTTCACAAACAATTACAAAGAAACAACAAGTGACACATTGGATTAAGTGTGAATTTTTTAAGCCAAAAATTGAAATAGTAT